GGCCCTAGGCTCGCAGGAAACTTTGACATTAAATCGCGACAGCCGCTTGCTAAGCGTGTGGCGTGTGCGGCCCCGGAAGCGAGTATCGCGAGCTTTTCTCCCCTAAAAATTCAGAATTTCCACAGCGGGTTTATTTATTTCCTGCAATTAACGCACACGCACGCACACAATTTGTAGGAATCCAGCGCCGTTGAGCCGGGGCTCCGAAGGACCCCCGTTACTCACCTCCGTTCGTTCTCCCTGCGTGCGCCAAGCTCCTCCGTGGTTCATTTTGCGCTAAAAAATACCCCCGGCTCCCGCACACCTCCTTGCCCCTCCAGCCACTCCCCCATCCCTAAGCGCTTCCACATCTTCCCGAATTTTTGCGATCTTAACGTTAGCAGCTCCGGCGTTTCTTACGGCGGGGGACAGATAAGGAAAGGTGGATCTGCGAAAGAAGAAAAAACAGACCCGCAACCTACTTCGTGATCTCGGGAAATGTTTAGGATAAAATAAAACAAAATTATCGAGAGCATTTCGAGGCCGAAGTGAACGGCTGTGATGGTTTCCCAGGCCAACGCGAGGTGATGTCACGGATCTTATCGAAACGTTGCCAGCTTCTTCATTATCAACATCTGTATATAATTTACAGTTTCATTAAAAATATTTCATCTCCACGCGGTTAGCTATTAGTTAGCAAAGCAAACATCGCAGCGAACACAAGTTAGTCCCACCGGTTTTTGGGAAATTAGGGCATCAAGTTCTTCTGCCAGAAAGGAGAGTAACCCAGCCCCAGGCGATCTGGGGAGTCCCGCGACACGCCGGCCTCTGCCGGGGCTCAGTTTCTAACCTGAGAAAGGAGCGGCCGTAGGTCGGCACCCCACCTCCCCCTGGCCCTCCTCGCATCTTTTCTTTTTAAAACATTTTTTCCCGCTACTCTTTGTGGGGGATCCCTCCGACGAAGCGGCCCGGGTGCGCAAAAGTTGCCGGTGCGGAGGACCCCGCAGGAGCGGCGGTGCCGCTGTTCCCCGACGGCGCCCGGGCCCGGCTCGGCCGCAGGGT